TTAGTCTAGCTATCCAAAGGGGGAACGCTGCCAGTATCTTCGCCCTTCGGACTAAAGGGACTCCTTTTAATAATATTTTTTAATTATTTATTTTAAGGTTAGTTATTGTTTTTGTTATAGTAATTTAAAAGATTGTAAGTTTCATATTAATAATTTCATTTATTAAATATAGTAATTATAATCAGTAGATCGAACTAAGTAGCCGATACTCACTGGCAACGAATGTTCCACGGGTCATCAATGAAGTAGACATGAAGACCAATACCATTATACTTTGAGGCGTAATCGAGGTAGCACTTGGGTGCAAATGGAGTCACCATCTCGTACTGAAATAAAATTATTGCATTTATAACAAACAGTTCCTTTTAAGCGAAATAGCTGCTGAACAATAGAAAAATATGATTTAGGTCTTAGTTTTTGAACCATGGGATAAATTCGATTGAGGTTCCCTGGGGCAACAACACTGTTTTAATGTTTTCTCATTTTTGACTTCCTTGGGTGATAGATAAACTATATTTGTATTTTTTTTTTCAGAATTTTGCAAATTTTTATTATAAAAAAACACGAAGATGTTTCTATTCTACTGAAATTATTTTTGTGCACAATGTTGGTAATACTCGTTTACCTAGTTTTACTTTCCTGAAATAGATCGCAAAAACCATAAAGATTAAGTAATTTTTAGTTATTAACACTAAATAGATAACAACAATGTTTAAATCGTCGAATAGAAAAAAATAAAATTCATTTTTATATTTATATGTGTATCCGAGTAATATTAGCATTACCTTATTGTATTATTCCTTAAAAAAAATATTTTGCTTTAATAATTTTGTTCCCCGTTGCAATCGAATTATTAACGTCTAAGATAAGAAAGCAAGGACTTGTATGTGGAAGATTTTTATATTATTGAATTCTCGTTTTTGTACTATCAATATAATCATGTTTTGACGGTCACAAAACCTTGGCTGACTTACACGTTACTAACTTAGTATTTCCAAATAAGCAAACTTACGCCAGAAGGATTCTTTTCTGTGTAACGCTCGAACCAGTCTCGTTTGCCAGCAGGCGTGGGTGGGAGGTTGGCGAAGAACTGAAAGCCCACTCCGATGAGGTCAGACTTGCTGGTCAACGCGAACCACGGTAGAATATCATCACAGCTCTTTTCGGGGGTCATGTTCCAGTGATAATGAGTTCCTGTATTGTTTAAACGTTATTAATTATAATAATACCCTAGATTTCATGCAAAATTAATTGTCGGTGTCACGAGTCAATCGCTTGGTTTATTTTTAAATTCGTTTAACTAACAGTAAGTTCGATTCCCGTCTAAAAAAGACGCCATTGCAGAAAGTTTTTTCTGTGGAGAAAATTAAGACTTACAATTAATTCTGCTTTTAATTAATTAAATTATTCTTTTGTTTTTTATATAATATGATTATTAAAATCCGATATAAGGGTATTCAAAGAGTACTTTTCGATCTTACCCATATTGGGGATGCAGTTTTGTTTTTTAAACAAGGTAGTGTTCAGCTCGGCTTCGGTGCTTGGAATCCTGATGAGTTGTCCTTCAAGGTCACTGACCCATACACCGCCATCTTGCAATGTCGCACCGTTCTCTACTGTAGGACCAGCGCCCGCTTTCAGAGATTCTATTAAAAAAACCTATATCAATATTTTGGGGGGGGGGGGGGGGGAACCCCCCCCCCGGGGGCCCTCTGCATTATATTTACAGTATCGGATTTTTTATAATATTGTTCGATCACTGGAACAATAACAATTTTACAGGTTCCGAATAGAATCAACCTGCCTTCAACGCCTACCCCATGTTATAACGGTGTTTTGAAACTTGAAAGTATCGCAAGTCAAACAAACCTGCAGAGACATAATAATGTGTGGCGGTCCAGTAGTCCCTAGCTGGTTCAAAATCCGTAGCTGGAGCACGCCATTTCACGAATCTCTTCTCAGGTTTTATGGTTGGAGATTCGAACTCATCAACCGGGAACTAGAACAAAATAGGATTTAATATTAACAAGTGTTCGTAATAAAATATAGACTATATAGATAAAAAAAATATCTAAGTATGAGTTGGTCTTATTTGTGTATTGTATATAAGCCTCAACTAATTTATTAATATTTTTTTAGTTTATTGATTTGTATTTTAAACCGAGAAAAAACAATAAAGCTAGATGAGGGGTATTGGGTTCGATTTCCGGTCGGAGCGCAATTTTATTTCAGTAAATTTAAATTTGCTTTCTGCCTTTGTGAGGGTTGTGCGGTACCGGGCAAATGCTTTATGGCGAATGCTACACGCTCGATAATTATCGTGATATTTATCGTGATATTTATCTTGTATTTTTTTAGTATACTACACACTCGATACGGATCGCGTCAGTACGACGGTAAATTTCATTGAGTACACTCGTACATTTCGTGTTACAATATGAGTAACAATATTAAGAAAGCTTGCGTTGCCATTATTATTATTATTATTATCAGTATATGCTGATATACATCAATATCCAAGACTTTGAATTGTAAACATTTTCCGCTGCAGCACCAGATCGTTTCATATCTGTTATTTTTTAAATTATTTTCTGTAGTTTGCCTAGTTTGCATTTGAGGTGTCCCATATGGCCGATTTACACGTATTAAGTTGACTAAAAATTTACTAAATATTAACTTAATTTTAAGTAACTTAACCCGTGTAAACAGTGAATTTAGTAAGAAGTTGCAAGTTAAAATTTAGTTGCAAGTAAACAAGGTAGAATAGAATTTTGTCTATTTTTCGGTTAAGTTGGTGGGCGTGGCTAATCACTTGACACGTTTGGACAGGCAAAATTTAGTTAAATTTAAGTGAAAAGCATAAGCTGGCGGAGTCATTGCAAAGCTATGCTTTTGCTTTCGGCGCTGGAAGCTCAAAAACATATCCAAAACTATTTGTCCGATATGCGTATACAACAATTAATGAACAGTAGTAGAACCCCTTCCCCAATGAATAATAGTAGCCGTTTTACTCCTTCGCCTTCTTCAAATACGTATTACGTTGAGTCCCCAGAACCTTCACAATCATGTATTGGAGCATACAATATAGTAAATCCCCAATCAGGAAGAGAAAATCCTATAATATTTTGTTCTGTGGTCGTCCATCTTGAGCGAATAAATGAGTTTAACTAATTATTTAGTATTTTTACGTGTAAACGGTTACTTAAAATTTAGTTAAGACTTGGCAACTTAATACGTGTAAATCAGCCTATACTTATAGGTAATGTTTCTAATACAAGTATGAATTCTCTATATTATTCCGCCTCCATATATGCGCGTCCTCTTCCATCGCTGGCAGAATAAATACTGACGCGATAAATATCGAGCAGAGACTAGACGCTCGATATTTATCGACGATAATTGATACGGATCGTGGATTTTTAGATTTCTAGAAATCCAGCGATCCGTATCACGGATCGTGATACGCATGTACTACACATCGTAATTTTGGATCACGATCCAAATATCACGATAAATATCGAGCGTGTAGCATTCGCCTATCGGAGGGCTCGTTCGAATTTCTAAGGCAAGCAGTGAGTATGCTACCTAAGAAAATAGACTGTGAGATTTAGGATGTATGTATTAATACGTTCTAGACCGAGGATGGAAATTACAAGTTGTAATTCAACATTCTATTTTTGCTCACCCAGTCTCTGAATAGCAGAGATTCTGGTGTGGGTCGAGTCCAACATACCCCTGCAATTTTTGGGGGTAGGGGATGTGCGAATACATTTCCACCTCAGATATCTAAAAAAGAGTCAGAGTGTGTTTGTGGGTTCATAGACCACAAAATGTGTTAAATAAAACTATATGTATAATAAAATGTTTGGACTATGCAAAAGTTACCAGAATTTGCCTTCAATTTCTAAATTTTTACCCGAATCATATTGAAAAAAATAAACAGTAAGTTAATGTTTGATATATGTTGTTTTTATTTACCAAACGTTTCCATAGAAATTCACTCTTCTGAAAATGACATGGAAGTTGGTAAAATGCCCAATTAAATACTAAAATCTTTGAGTTTAACACATATTTCAATTCCATAACTTATCATCTGATATTCCTATCGTTTAAAACGGTTTCGTAAACAGATAATTTATATCTGAAACGATTATAGAATTATTATTTATTTGTCACGCATGGTTGCGAACAAGTGATTTGATACCACATAAGTCACGCTTTAAAAAATGTGGCAGTATCGAAATTAAATCTACAAATAATTATCCGATACGAAAAGTGAATTAGTGAATTACCGATACGTTTTAATCTCGTGGAACTGTATATTTATTATATTTATCTAATGTAATCATAATGAAGCTAATTATCATGATGTTGTTGATGAATGATTGTTGGGTGGCGTGATTACTGAACTAAAATTATTAATTCAAATCATATATAAATAAAATGTCCTAAATAGCATGTCCCTTGCTCTATTGCAAACGATAAATCTTACACAGCGGTACGTGTTTAAAATAATAAAATCAGTTTCTTCCGTACAGACGAAGTTGGCAATCACAAATTAATTAAATCAGTTCTACTGGTTCTTGGTCTCAGCTGTAAATCTGTTTTTATAGGCAAGCAGGTGACCTGTCTTTCACCTGAGTTTTCTGTTTCCAGAAGATTTCCTTCATCGTAAGAGCAAGTGCGGTGTATACACAATCCAGGATCAGTACCCTGTATCTTGTATCAAGGTTGCGACATCAGCAATACGTTTAGTGAGAGAAAATTTCGAATTGCTACTGGAAGGTACAGAGTACCTGACCTGGGAGGATCAATAGCATGACCTCAGAGTTGAGGCCTTCTTTGCCATTACGCCAACACAGCACTATATAGAGAAACGCATTTTATCGCTATAAGTTGTAAAAGTCAGTCAAAACGATGTTACTTCATGGAAGACGGATTAAATTAGATAAACGGTTGTTCGTTGAACATTGTGGGCTGAGCGGTGCTTACAATAATCGTATTGTAATCCTTTATTCACGAGTGTCATGGAAATATCTAGAGGAAATGGGTAAATATTCCTAATTTGAATGTTTCATTGGTCTAATTCCAAAATTAAGCACTTCTAACAGTTAGTGACAGCGACCCAGTTTTTGCCGCGCACCACCACTATTTGGAACCAGCTACTCACTGCAGTATTTCCAAACCAACTCGACTTAGGGTCCTTCAAGAAAACTACCAATTCCTATAAGGCCACTCGCCAGCCCTCTGGGAGCCCCAGCCCATTGAGAGTGTCTATGGACCGCGGTATCACATAACCTCGGGTGAGCCTTCTGCCAGTTTGCCGCAGCAGTTTGCTGCAGAAGTTGGAATCGTTATTGGGCCTCTACCAATCGGGCCACTCCATATTTGAATTGCACATTTAGCCATAATATCATGCGAACCCTCGAAAATTAAAACAGGAAATTAAAATGGAAATAAGTATGTGATGCTTGAATAAAATTTTACTATCCATGTTCCACAGTCAATTTCGACTCGGATGAAAGGTTTAGATGTATCCAGGCCCTACGTAAATTCCTAGAAGGTTACTTGACACAACTGGTTGACATACTGAAGGACGCTTTAACCTGATCAAACATGTTTTTGTGGTTTGAAAAAATGCAAAGTTCATTTACCTATGTCGCTAATACTGGAAATATGACAAATAAAAACACAACTTGTTTTATATACCAGTTGAGTGTTGCCTTTTTCCCTATCACTTGGTTTTTAAACGACCAAGTGCGTTAATTAAAACCTACAAGGAAAATATTTAAATATTTTAATGCGCGAACCAGTTTATTATATTATTTTTTATGTCAACTGTTGCGCTTGACTCAAATGCCAAATAAATTTTCGGCAAAACAGACAACCGCTTGGATATTTGATATATTTTACTTGACTATGCCAGTGGTCCAGAAATACAATAAAGTACGTTATAAGGGTACTCGTAAGTCTAAGTCAGCCTAAGTCCTATTTCCTTTAATTAAGTTTCTGAAAGCTTGATTAAAGAATATACAGAATTACTCTTACCTATATGTAAATACCACACAAACACGTATTTTAGGATAAAATGTTTTTTACTCATAAAAATACTTTTATTAATAAAACTCGATTTTGTTACATTTAGAATAGGTACTTACATGGATTCTCTCGGCGACCGCATAATTTAAATAATGTTTTGCAAAGCATTTTTTGTTTGTCAATAAATAAGTTTATGTTAAGCTTGATTTTTGAGAAAAAAGAAAGAATGTTTTGAAATCAATTAGATTATCAAATGAGTCTGTGTATATTGGAACGTCGAATTGATTTCATCCTCCTTCGGTGTTTTGGAGTTGGTAAAAAGTATTTGATTTTTACATATTATGCTTGAATTAACGAAAAGCCAGCCTTGCGATTCTGTAACTCACTTTTCGGACTCATACAGCGGCGGTCGCGCTCAAATCAGTCATTTTATGATTTGGCATTCTAATAAGAAGGGAGCTTGTAGTTTATTAAAAACTGAAAAGTGAGTTATAGAATCGCAAGGCTGATCTAAAAATCAAAAGAGTTCACAAAACCAGTGTTTTTGCTTTTGCAAATGTATCTTTAGTATTATTGTTTTTAGTTATACTTACAGCAATTTGCAATCCAGCGACGAATCCAGCGGAGTCGAATAGGGGGCATACGTATCTATCAGAAGGACAATATAGCCTTAACTCGGGCAGAGGGCCTGGTGGTCTCTCAGTCCTTCGCCAACCTTCTTTTTCCGCTTGAGCGATCGTTCTGGGGATATTGTAAAAGTACTCTTTGTCCACCAACGCGTCTGACCAGCCGAATTTTACTGAAAATTTAAATTGAATTAGCCCTTTGACCGCAATTTTGTCGTATTACTAGATTTTACTAGTATTTTTTAGATTGACATTCTAATTTATTTGTATGACAATAGAAATAAATTATTTTTATTATTAGTTAGGCTATGTATTTAAATTTCTTACCTCTTAGTCCATTGTACTGGACACCTAAAAAATAAACACATATTAGATTGATATTAAAACAAAAATTATAAGTAACGATTTTTAATACTGTATTTTTTTTTTTGCTCTGATATTGATAAGACTCTTAACTCTCAACGATGCCTCTTTGAATTGATACACAAAATATAAGTTGGTATATCATGTTAGATGTTCTAATTTATTTTTTAAGAAGAATCAAATCAACATCACTAATAGAAACAAATGAAAGAAAGAAAATATTTTATTTAAGTATCCACGAACAGTTTCACGTATTTCACATCAAAAATTCTCACAGTAAGGATCGTAATGAAAATAAAGTGAGTGTTCTAATTCACTTATCGAGGGATATTCCGATATTGGAAATTAAACTTGTGATTGTAGCTAAGACATTAATAAGTAATATAGGCGAATTTTATAATAAATTAAAAACCAGCTTTTACTTACCACAAGCAAATGTTGCGATTGAGAGGATAATTATTAAACTCTTCATGTTGACAATGTGCGCCCGCGAGGTCCTGGAGCACAATGGGTACAATTTATTCTTGATTCGTTTAAATAGACGGCTCTGCCTTCATCTCCATATTGACCATATAAATAGAACCCATTTTCCTTTCGAACTATAATTTATTAAGAATGTGTTTTTTAATTACAAGGAAAATATTGATTTGTTTTCTTTAAGGGGCATACCCACGGCCTGTTTGGCAACAATTTACAGGTAAAAATATTAAGATATGGCAATGCTTTGCAGATTTATTGCTTACAATTTAAAAAAAAGTTATTATAATATTGGGTAGAGGAAAGTTCATATTTAGTTGATCAATAAAAAAAATGTGTTTATTCATTATTATTCACATTTTGGGAATTTATTCTTTAAAAATAATACCGTCGAAATGTAGACCCTCACATTCGCGGCACTCATTTAATCGATCAATAATATTACTTATGACGGCTCGGCAGGTGGACTCAGTGATGGCTGCCATTTCGTGACGGATATTTTCTTTCAATTGCGCCAGAGAAGTTGGCTTATTGGCGTACATTTTAGATTTAAGATAACCCCATAAGAAAAAATCCATAGGGGTTAAATCAGCACTGCGTGGAGGCCAATTTATGTCACCTCTCCTGGAGATCAATTTGCCTAAGAAAATTTCACAAACTCGTGGCAGAGACGTATTGGACGTGTGTGACGTTGCTCCGTCCTGCTGGAACCATGTTCTTTGGTTAAAGCCAGGAAAGTTTTATAGTTTAGGCACCAAGAAGTCGTCTAACATTTTCACATAACGTTCTGAATTGAAATGTAAACTTTCTTTTGCTGTACAAAAGCTAGTGCTAGTAGTTGACTTGACATTTATTACGCAAGTAGGTTCCTGGAATAGAAAGGAGTAGTTAAGGAAAACAGATTTAAAATTGGTATAATCAAAACAATTATAGAATAAAAGTAATTTACTTAAAACGAATATCCTCATTCTTACATGTTATTTATTATTTTGGTACGAATTAAATAACATGTAAAAAAACAAATAAACTCGCATATCATAAATAGTTAAAAAAAGATGTCGAATACCTAATACAAACAGGATTGGGCATCAAGCTTGCTTCATTCTTATTATTTTTTTAAGAGAACGCTTGAAATGTCTTAGAATATAATGTTTGTGTTAAATCGTCTTATAATGGCGCTTCTAAACGGGCCATGTTTTGCTACAATTTATGGCTGCAACACTGTGGCCCGGCAACAATTGCAGCCACAATATGCAATATTGCAGTAATGTCCCGGCCATATAGCCAAACATGTTTTGTATAGCCACATATGGCTGATGTTGCCCCGATGGGTTGCCGAACGATCGCTAGGCTATCGAATTCAACTGCAATATTGCACAGCCAGTTCTATTGTTGTTTCAGTCACTCTCTTTGTTATGGCATAGTGTATCCTTTTCTACGCGACATGACGTTTGCGATGAGTGAAGTGTGCCTGTTGCTATATTCTGTTTTGCGATCAGCTGCATTTTGACGTTAGGTTACTACGTAAAAATGACTGCTTTTGACATTCTAGTAAAATTCTTGAATAATTTATTATCAAGGCTTATTTCTAGACTCAAATTGTCTACAGTTTCACGCATATTTAAGTAAAGTCGAATCCACGATCTCTTCTTTTTCTGTTTCTTTTTTAAAACATTATAAGCTGCTGCGACAAGTGTGATTTCGTCAGCCATTGTTGCCGGTTTGTGTAGCCCGTTTAGGAGTCTGCATCATGGGCCATACTATTGCAGACATATTGCAACACATTGCCCAGCCATAGATTGTTCGGCCATCAGCTGCATTAAAATATTTTTGTAATTGCCGGGCAATTAGTTGCCAACAGTGCAGCCATCAATTGCAGTAAAACATGGCCCGTTTAGAAGCGCCATTATGGAAACACAAAATAATTATTTTTAAGAGATCGTTCGTTCAATTTTGATACACTTGGAACGACTCGTGAAGTTGAACTTGCTTTTAAAGCACATTTTGGTGAAGTCGAACTAATGATCGAAGTCGACAACACTGGCAGACCATTGATAACTTTATTTTTTTATGAAGTATAACAATGTATAATACAACTTTGTATACGCATCTTTAGAAATATCAAATAAGTGGCATAAGGTCAAGGTCATCGTAATGGCCAGCTCATTGTCCAGAGGAAGGAAGGGTTAAGTTACCTAATGTAAAAAACAGCCTCAGATTTCTGTTTCTGTATGATCATTTGTTAATCTCTAATAGGCAAGTAGGTGATCAGCTTTCTGTGCCTGACGCACGCCCTCGACGTTTCGGGTCTAAGGCAAGCTGGTTTCCTCGCAATGTTTTCCTTCACCGTTCGAGGGAATGTTAAATGCGCACATAGAAAGAAAGTTCATTGGTGGACAATCGGGGATCGAACCTACCACCTCAGGGATGAGAGTCGCACACTGAAGCAACTAGGCCAACACTTCTTGCCTAATGTTAAAAACGATCAGAAAAATATTAATTGTAGGTGATGTGTTACACTCGCAGCAAAATTATTTAATTATTATCTATGTTCTTTTGTCTATATTTCACTATACTATATACTTTGATCTTGATTAATTATGATATATTTTCATGCCCGATTTTGTTACGACTAATCACTATTGCTTAAGTATCAATTATTTAAAAAAAGCACACGCTTCAAATAAACACTAAGAAAAGAGTTCCAAACGTTGAAATTCTTTATAATTTGTTCGTATTCTCTATGTTTTGTTCCATGCTATTTAAACTACCATATACCACAGAATCCAGCCGATTAGGTCTTTCGATCCAGGTGTGCGTGGTCTTTCGACTTTGGTATTACAAGTCGCAAATATTATTATATCAATATAAAACTCGTTGACAAATTATCCTAACTAAACTTGTAAGTTTATACAGTTTAATGTTAAGAAGTTTTCTATGGTATCAATAATTAACGATAAAGGTAGGATAAATAGTTTTTATTGTTGAGTTCGCTTTAATAATCTAAGCGCCTTTTCATATAATTTGGCAAGTATTAAAACAAGATACCAATGGCGCCGAACAGGCGTGCTTATTTTAACAACTTGGCCCTCAGCCCAAGAACGGCTACTTTATCTTTTGATATTAACAGATATTTTCAATCAAATTTTGAAGATAAATTTGTTATTGTTTTACAAAAGCCTATTAATGTAAAAGTCTTCATTAGATCAAATTTATTATGAATATTGTATTTATTGAACATCTGTGGTTATAGAAAAGATGAATGAAATTGACATTACACTGACAATTGACACCTATCGACGATGTCACCACGAGTTCACTTCCCTTCAGATAGTCGTCTGAAACTTTAGAGGCGCGAACAGTACGTAATTGAATAGGTATCGTATTAGGAAAATAACGCTATATGAATGTACGCAAAAATTAAGAAGTGCTCTGTGGGCGAATTTAAAATTAATCGGATGCCCATCGTACCAAATCCGTTGCTTAATTTTTTTTATAAAATCGTCGCATTCCAGCTGTTAAGTACCTAACGTTATCCTATTTTCGAATTCTTAAACTGGACGTAATTATATCCAGGTGATCTGGGGCTTGAGACAAAATCTATATAAACAAAATAATATAAACGATTTTAAAACAAATAGTGTCTTTCACCAGTATAATACGCGACACAGCACTAATTTGAGTGTACGTACGACCAACCAGATTCCAGAAGCTAAACCACTCCTTGTATGGAAATTGAATTTGTTTTTCAACAAACTCCCTAATTAATTCAAAGCCCTCGTTAAACATAAATTAATCAATAAAGCTTTTTATAATATTTAAATGATCCTAATCCTTGGGATTGATTTGCTCCAGTTCAAACAATTTGTATGACTCAAAACTTAGAGATAAAAAAGAGTGGCGGAAAGTTTCTTGCCAGTTCTTCTTGCACGCTCTACGCCCTTGACTTGGGAACTAGAAGTATATGTAAATTTACAATTACATCCACCCAACTTCTTTTCTGACGTTCATAAGTTTACTTGTTTACCTATATGAATAAAGTTATTTTGAGTTTGAGTTTATATTCGTGACCAACTAACGCGTGTCTCGGATTTCAGTATCTATCTCGTAATAGCGTTCTGTGCTTGATCAACCTCGTTTTAAAGACATGACGGTATCCTCATGATGTTTTCCATTAGATTAAAACTCCTTATGGAATTTTCTCAGCACATCACAGCCGGTTTCGAGGCTACGACCTCAGGGATGGGAGTTGCACGGTGAAGCTCGCCTATTGGGGCTGCTCTTAATGGTTATGTTCAAATAAAATAAATAGATAAATGCAATAATGTTTTCATTTCCATTCACATTTAGGAGAACAACCAAAAATATTTTCTTATTTGGTTTTATGTTTACAAATATAGGCAATTGAGCTATTATTATTGTGTTTCAACGCCTTCTTCAGCTTGAGTATCCTTTAAAATTTAAATAGTAGACTTCTCTTATATTAATCCAGTGGGCTACAACCCTATATAAACTTAACTTGCACTTAGATCGCATCCGTTTCTTAGATAATTTATATTTTGTAGATAAATAGGTGATCCGCCTTCTGTTTGACATATGTAGTTTTTTTAGAGCGAGTATTAAATGCGGTCATAGACATAGATAGTCCATTGGTGCACAGCCGGAAAGCGAAATTGCGTTCTCAGGGATGAAAGTCGCACGCTCCAGCTACTACGCCAACACCGCTGCAGTAATCGTTTCTATAGCTATATTTTAAATTTAATTAATCTTTTATAATACATCTTAGTATATCTCCAACATAGATATACCTTCTTAATTGGTTGAGATCTTTAGCGTTTGATTTTCGTCCTAAGAAGCTTATCTTTGAACTATTTATTTATAAAAGCTTGCTAACATACAAGAAAAATAAAAAAAAAATTTAATGTGACAAAAACTTATAGGCAAACATAACATACAAAAATTAAACAAAACAATTAAATTATCAAAACTAAACGA